GTCAACAAAGGACAGATCTTCCAAGCAAACAATCAACAAGGACATTGTGGCACTGAAAAACACTCTAGATTAAATGGGCTTAACTGATATATATATATAAAAACTTTGACCCCAAAGAAGCAAAATATACATTCTTTTCAAATGCACATGGAAACTTTTCAAAGAGAGACCACATGACAGAACACAAAACAAGCCTCAAAAATTTTAAGAGAACTGAAATCACATCAAGCATATTCTCAGATCACCATGGCTTGAAACTAAAAACCAACCTACAGAAAAAAACTCAAAAAATAGTCAAATTCATGGAGACTGAATAACATGTTATTAAACAATGAAATCAAGGTAGAAATCAAAAAGTATCTGGAAATAAATGGAAATGAACACACAACAGCCCAAAACTTATGGGAGACAGCAAAGGCAGTCCTGAAAGGAAAGATCATTACAACAGAGGCCTACTTAAAAAAGAGAAAAATTTCAAATAAACCACCTAAACCTACATCTACAAGAAATGGAGGAACAACAACAAAGCCCAGAGCAAGTAGAAGGAAGGAAATAATAAAGATCAGAGTAGAATTAAATGACATAGAGACTATAAGAATATTTCAAGGAATCAATAAATCCAGGAGCTGGTTCTTTGAAAAGATAAACAAAACACACAAACCTTTAACCAGACTCATCAAGAAAAAAAAGAGAGGACCCAAGTAAATAAAATCAGAAATGAAAGAGGACAAATTACAACTGATATCAAAGAAACACAAAGGATTGTAAGAAAGTACTACGAACAACTATATGCCACAAAATTTGAAAACCTGGAGGAAATGGACAAATTTCTAGAAACATAATTCTTCAAAACTGAGTCAAGAAGAAACAAAAGCCTGAATAGACTGATAACATCTAGTAAAACTGAAGCAGTAATAAAAAAACTCTCAGCACACAAATGCCCTGGACCAGATAGCTTAACAGGAGAACTTTACTAAACATTCAGGGAAGAGCTAACCTCAACTCTTCTCAAACTATTCCAAAAAACCAAAGAAGAGGTAAGACTCCCAAACTGTTTTTATGAGGTGAACATCATCCCAATCCCAAAGCCAGATAAAGACACAACAAAGAAAGAAAACTTCAGGCCAATATTGCTGATGAACATAGATACTAAAATCCTAAACAAAATATTGGCAAACCGCATCCAACAATACATTAAAAAGATCATACACCATGACCAAGTGGGATTCATCCCAGGGATGCAAGGATAGTATAATATTCACAAATCAATAAACATAATACATCACATAAAGAAAATGAAAAGACAAAAATCATATGATCACATGAGTAGATGTAAAAAAAGCATTTGATAAAGTCTAACACCCATTTATGATAAAAACACTCAGCAAAGTGGGAGTAGAGAGTGCGTACCTCAACATAATAAAGACCATATATGAGAAACTTACAGCCAACATCTTACTCAACAGGCAAAAACTAAAACATTTCCTACTAAGATCAGGAACAAGACAAGAGTGTCTGCTTTCACCACTTCTACTCAACATAGTATTAGAAGTTCTAGCCAAAGTGATCAGATAAGAAAAAGAAATAAAAGGCATCCAAATTGCAAAGGAGGAAGTAAAACTGTCATTGTTTACAGATGATATGACAGTGTACGTAGAAAATCCTCATGACTCCACCAAAAAATTACTCGACCTAATGAGTGAATTTGGCAAAATAGCAGGATACAAAGTCAATATTCAGAAATCAAAGGTATTTGTGTACACCAACAATGAAATATCAGAAACAGAAATTAAGAAAACAACCACAATTACTATAGCAAGAAGAAAAATAAAGTATCTAGAATAAACTTAACCAAGGAGGTAAAAGACCTGTACTCACAAAACCAAAGAAAGAAATTAAGGAAGATACACATAAATGGAAGTACATACCATGTTCGCAGATTGGAAGAATTAACATCATTAAAATGTCCATCATACCCAAAGCAATTTATAGATTCAATGCAATCTCTATTAAAATACCAGTGACATATTTCACAGATATAGAACAGATATTTCAAAAATTTATATGGAACCATAAATGACCTCGAATAGCCTCAGCAATTCTGAGAAAGAAGAACCAAGTAGGAGGGATCACAATACCTTGTATCAAACTATATTACAAGGCCCCTATAATCAAAACAGTCTTTTATTGGCATAAGAACAGACACATAGACCAATGGAACAGAATAGAGAGCCCAGAAATAAACCCATGTCAATATGATCAGTTAGTACTTGACAAGAGGGCAGGAACATAAAATGGAGTAAAAAGAGCCTCTTCAATATCTGGAGAGGTACATGCAAAAAACAAATGAAACTAGACCACCAACTTATACCATACACCAAAATAAACTCAAGATGGATAAAAGACTTAAATATAAGTCATGACACCATAAAAGTCCTAGAGGAGAATGTAGGCAGAACAATTTCAGATATCTTACACAGCAACATTTTCACCAATATGTCCCCTAGGGCAAGGGATATAAAGGAAAGAATAAACAAATGGGTTTACAGCAAATTAAAAGCCTTCTCCACAGCTAAAGAAAGCATCAGCAAAATGAAAAGGGAACCAATCATATGGGAAAACGGATTTGTCAGTGGTATTCAGACAAGGGTTTGATCTCTAAAATATATAAAAAACTCACAGGACTCCACACCAAGAAGACAAACAACCCAATTGAAAAATGGGCAAAGGACCTGAAGAGACACTTCTCCAAAGAGGACATACAGAGGGCCCAGATGCATATGAAAGGATGCTCAGCATCACTAGCCATCAGAGAGATGCAAATTAAAACCACAATAAGATACCACTTCACACCAGTCAAAATGGCCATCATAACCAAATCAACAAACAACAAGTGCTGGGGAGGTTATGGAGAAAAGGGAACCCTAGTGCACTGTTGGTGGGAATACAGAGTGGTGCAGCCACTGTGGAAAATAGTATAGAATTTCCTCAAAATACTAAAAATGGAACTATCTTTTGATCAAGTGATTCCACTGCTGGGATTATATCCTAAGAATTCTGAAACACCAATTCAAAAGAATCTATAAACCCCAATATTCATAGCAGTGTTACTTAACAATAGCCAAGTGCTGGAAACAGCCTAAGTGCCTATCATTAAAAGAGTGAATCAACTGGGGTACATTTACACAATGGAATACTACGCAGCAGAAAGAAAGAAGGAAATCCTACTCTTTGTGACAGTATGCATGGAACTGGAGAGTATTATGCCAAGTGGAATAAGCCAGGTGGTCAAGATCTTGCCTAAAGTGGAACCTAATCAACAAAACAAGCAAGCAAGGAAGCAAGCAAAACTGAACCAGAGACATGGAAATAAAGAACAAAATAACAGCCCTGACTGGTGTAGCTCAGTGGACTGAGCACAGGCCTGCGAACCAAAGGGTCACCAGTTCAATTTCCAGTCAGGGTACATGCCTGGGTTGCAGGCCAGGCCCCCAGTGAGGGGTGCAAAAGAGGCAACCACACATTGATGTTTCTCTCCCTCTTTCTCCTTCCATGCCCCTCTCTCTAAAAATAAACAAATAAAATCTTTTTTAAAAATGACAAAAACAGTAAGAAAAAGTTATAAAAAATTTTTAAAAAATGACAGTATCCAGAGGAGTCAGGATGGGGAGGGTGGTTGGGGGAGGGGAATAACAAGGGGAAGGGCAAAGTCAAGGAACATGTATAAAGGACCACGGAGTGGGGACTGACTATGGAAGCAGGGCGTGGGCAAGGCAGGAGAGAGCAACGGGGGAAGACTGGGACAACTATAACTGAACAACAATAAAAAAAATCTGTTTTCCTAAAGATCAAAATAGATTGGATATGTACTGTGTTTGTTCTTTTTTTATTATTATTATGAACATTAAGATGATATAGTCTCTTTTCTCCCAAGATTAACATTGTGCAAATACACACACACACACACAAAGTCAATTTAAAATATTAGTAAGAAATGATGATACCTCCTCCAAAAAGGGCTCACTCACACTTATCCTGAAGATTCTCTGACACAAAACTATAAGGTGTCTGGGGAAATTTTAACACCAAAAATTCCATTATTTATATATTCCAAATCCATTATTTATAAGAAAACTACACTTTTAAAAGTATTTTCATGCATTTAAATATATTTCAAGTTAGTAAGAACCAATATTTTACCATCCATATTTAACCAAAACAAAACCAGAAAAAAATAAACTAGATAAATATAAATTATAAGAAGAATGTTTCTTGTAGTTACTTGACAAAAGGAAAAAATTAAAAATAAAAAAGATGTCAGTATAGATTTCAAAGTTCAGCCTTCACCTCTATTGGCTCCATTTATTCAGTGCTATAAAAATATTTTTTTGAGTTTTTACCACCTTGAAAAGTCATATTTTCTGGTAACATATTCTCCTGCTTAATTCTGATGCTGTGTGTGCTAAGTGTTACAGAAAAAATTAGCAACTGAAGACAGACCCATCAAATTTACAAGATCATCAAGGGAACTGTTGAATACATGCATGGTAAGAAATATAGTTATGTGTTATGTTTAAACAAAGTTTAAAGAATGAATTAGGTGAGAATGCTTGCTCCAAGTGGCTCTTTCGCACAACTGAGCCCCACCCCACACACACACTGTGGGAGTTCTGGCACACTTAGTAACCCCAGCTAGAATTTGGGAATAGGAAAAGACCTTCAGTTACATGTTCAGAAGAAATGTTTGTTCCTGGAGCTCTTTAATCTCAACTGTCAACATCTGATTGAAATAAAGAAAACACCTTTGTTAAGGAAATGGAGATGGTGAAGAGAAACAGGTGAATGAAAAATAATTAGAATTACTCTGTTGATAGAAAATGACAGCACTCAAGGACAGCATCAAGTGACAGCTGCTCAAGTGACAAAGACATCGAACAGCTGTTTTAGGTTTGCCACAGTGTGTGCAATAGCTGATTAAAGAATGCAGTAAATGTACTTACCAAATATTTCCCCTCCACTAGCATATTCTGTCACCAGATAAATCATCCGTTCTGTCTCCATAACCTGGTGCAAGGCAAGAAAGTTATAGTGACACAAATGACATTATAGGAAAAGAAACTAATGACTCTTCCTTTGTCATTTGAAATATTAATAATCATTACTACTTAAAGGAAACTTAAAACATTGGTGGGAATGGACAGATATAAATGTTATTAAGAAATGGGAAAAATAGGTATTCCTCCAAGTTCTTAAAAGTAGGAAATATTTACTACTTGAGGGAGACAGTCCTTTTGTTGTTCCATGAGGCCTCTGTAATAATCTGTTAAACAAAACCGAAAAGCAAAGAAGCTGACAAGAACTCAAAAGTTGAAATTTAACATCATTTTGTCATTTGAAACTCAAAATGTTCCCCACCAAACCTAACAAAACAAAAAAAGCCTTAGGGAAAAAAATGGGAATCATTCAAAATTCAAAAACTGCACAGAAATCACATATGGCTATGCTTTTTTAAAAAGTAGAAATAACTTTGCACTACCCATTTATCAAAACTGGGGACAATAATGTAAATGTTCAACACTTCAAGTAATGTAAACTACTCATTGCTTATTTTGTGTTGGTCTCTATTTTCCTCATATATATCATTTTTACAATATTTATATATTTAATATATTATAATTACACAAACATATATAAATATAATTATATATTTTTGCTAATATTTAGTACCTTTTAAATTAGTTGTAGTGTGTTGTCAGTCCTTTCTTCCTTTTAACCTTTTTCATTATTTTTAAAGTAATATATGAGTATATACACTCATTGTAAACATTTTAAAGACCTGTTGTATAATCAGAGACCAAAGACTTTCCTCTTCTCAACCCCCTCCATTTTATTCCCCAGAGGAAACACTGTTAGTAACTTATTCTATATAGTTCTAGAGGAATGCTGTCCAATAGAAATATGAGCCTTACATATGATTTAACTTTTCTAGTGATCACATTAAAAAGCTTTTTAAAAAGGTGAAATTAATTCTAATGTATTTTATTTACCCCAATATGTTGAAAATAATTTCAAGAAGTTTTTAAAACTGTAAACTGCTTCAATTTTTACATTCAAATTAATCTAAATAAAATTACAAATTCATTTCTGCCCTGGCTGGTATGGCTCAATGGACTGAGTGCTGGCCTGAGAACCAAAAGGTGGCCAGTTCAAATCCCAGTCAGAGCACATGCCTGGGCTGCAGGTCAGGTCCCCAGGTGGGGGTGTGTAAGAGGCTACAGATCACTCTATTGCTCGCACATCAATGTTTCTCTCCCTCTCTCTCCTTCCTTTCACCTCTCTAAAAAGAAATATACAAAATCTTTACCAAAAGTGAAATTCATTTCCTCATTTGTTCTAGCCACATTTTGATACTCAATAGCCATGCGTGGCAAGCAGCTATCATACTGAGGCATTCTAGTCTTTCACTATACTTCACAATTATTTTGTTAAATGATTTCCCAGTTACTTTACCTTTGACATCCTTATATATTAGTACCATATAACAGTATTATGCATTATATTATAAAAGATTTACTTCTTTTTTTTCCAATGGTCTCATGATACTCCACTGTATAAATGCGCATCAATTTAATTTTCTAATCTAATAACTGTGTCCTTTTTTCTCTTTAATTTTTAAAAACCGTATATATACTGGTGGTAGCTCACTGCTTGTTATAGGTATTGTTTGTAAGCACTCTCTATATGTTGATATATATAACAAAAGAGAAGGGCTCTAAATATATGCAGGTCCTTAGAAAAAAAGAAAAGAAAAAATGTCACATTGTATATATATATATATATATGCTTTTTAACCCCAGGCTTTTTTTTTACTGACAGCATCTGTTCTTTTATTGTTAAACTTTTCAAGAGTTCACCTATATTTGGCTCACTCTATAAACCTAAGGAAACTGAAGCTTTGGCAAATGACCCAAAAACTTGATACTTCAGAAGACAATCTGACATTCACCCTGGCAGCTCAGACTCTTCCATTAACAATACTAGCTGCCAGAGAGCAAAATTAAAGCTTAAAAGAGAGCACTGTTCAAAGCCAAGGCTGAAAGTAGGGAAATTCTTACAGGCCAGTGAAATCTTGGATAAGAAAGGTAAACTTGGAGAAATCCATTATAAGGTCAATACTTATAAGTTAACTTTTTGAGAAAGATCAGCCTAAGAAGCCCTACAATTATTTAAAGGTGATTTATTTAAAAAAATGAGGTGAAGAAGTTTACTCAGTCTATGAGGAAAGGAAGCAAGCAGAGGTCAGACACCTCTGAGTTTGCAGATATAGGTCTTCAAGCAATACCAGAAAGCTTTCATAAGTTTACTTCTGGGGTACAGTGTAGGTATGGGTTCAACATAATTTAATCTGATAAATTTTAACAAGTCTGCTCTGCTGATCTAGTTCAATTTTACTATGTAAGTAGCTGATGACAGAGAAAAACCCTAAAGCTGTAGCCTTAACCACATATAGTAATATGATGATATGATTTCTTCTGGGCTGATAAGAATTTACTGCAGGCTAACAGCAGCAAATGAACAGAGTGGGTGGCCATTTCCTGCAGAACTAGGGGATGGCTGTTCTAGTAGAAAGCATAGGCAGAGTTTGTGGCTGCCGACACAATACAATTTGAGAAGCACCGCAAAGCCCCACTTTTTCCAAAATATCACTTCCACCAGTCTGATAAGGCAAGATCCTCCCTCCCTATCTGAGTTGAAATTGCAGCAATTAGATTTACCGCTTCTGCAGTAGGGCTAGGGAATCATTTTTGATGATAGTATTTCACATATTTTGATATGCGTATTTCTTGGGAAGGTAAGAAAACTAAATTAGAACTCTCTTCCATTATATAGACTCAATCTCTTAGTTATCAAAATAAGCAAATGCTACCTTGAAAAACTAAAAACTAAGTCTGGACCCTACTAGAATAGAAAGGAGGTAGGTTCTGGCTGATAAGGGAAGCCATACTTTATCCTTTGCCTTCATAATTCATGACATTATCACAGAAATTAGTGTTTAGATAATGTTATTAAAATAATGTATATTCATCTCTAGCTTCTAATCTCTCAAAATTCTATGTTCCTTTTGAGTTTCCCATTCTGTTTTAGGATTCTGACTTAAGTTCTCATCATCTTCTGAATAACCTTTTTGTGTAATTTTCACTAAGAACGGCATGAGTACTGCACAGGGGGATAAAAGGGTGGGGAAAATAGTAGGATGAACATGTGAACACAGAAACAAAGTTGCAGATGTTCACCCAATCAACCTTTAAAGGTTTTTTTTTTAATGCTGCTATGCAATAAGCCACTAGACTCCTACCTGGTAAAGCCTGATGATATGGGGGTGGCAAAGCATCTTCATAATTTGAACTTCTCGGAAAATCTTCTTCAAGTTTTCTTCATCTAGCTGGGTCTTGTCTATGATCTTGATAGCAACCTTATAACAGAGGAAGAAAATTTATTCTGATGCATTCATTATTAAAAGCAGTTTACTAATGAAAATTAAATCTATTTTAAAACATTATATTCCATAAAACAAAAGCTGCCAGTATTTTCTTTGCAGAATTTCAATGAAGAAATGAATTTACTCTTTTTGAAAAGACAGGAAATGGATTTTTAGTAAGTTAGTCTCAGAGGTACAGACTCAAAAGCTAATGAGTCTTCTGCCATCTCTTAAATTGTTTCTGCAGTAAAACCCCATGATAAAGTACTTCATTATAGTCTGGGAAATCATGCTGTGGTGCAGAGTACGGTATGCAGGGCCTCTTTTTAAGACAATAAACTTACATCATAAGTACAGATGATTTAGTCATGGTTCAACCAGAAATTCCAAAGGTGCATTCCACATCTCATCAGGTGCTTGTATAGCTCAATAATAGTGGTGGTGGTGGCAGCAGTAAGCAGTAACCACATCCTGAACATCTGTGTGCTAGGCATAATTAGTGCTTTTCAAGGACTAACTCATTTAAACCTCATAACATCCCATATTATTATTAATCTTGTTTTACACATATGGAAACTGAGACACACAGAGATTAAGTAATTTACATTTATACCTGGTAGATCCAGGATTGAAGCCCAGGTGGCTTAGCTTTAGAGTCAAATTCTTAATGGTAATGCTATAAAAATGTGAAGATCTTTCTGTACTATATATACACTGCATTAGCATAAAACATCCTTTTTATTTTGCTTATTTTTAAGATACTAAGCAGCACAAAAATTTTAAAACATAGAAGGTGAACTTTTTAAAAATCTACTAAATCTAAACTTCTTCATTCTTAGTGAAATTCTCAAAATATTGTGGTGCTTCAAAATAACTGTGTGTCAGTTTCAATTACTCAATCAGTATGTAAGCAACAAATATTAGTTGGATGAAGGACCAGGACTAGGCAAATGCTAGTCCCTTTCAATACTTAAAATTCTATGATTCTAAATACTGGGATAGGTAAAGAAAACTTATTTAAGAAAACAAGAAAAACCAGGAAAGTAAACTATCAACACTAAAAATGTTTAGCCCAGAGAAATAAAGACTGTAAAGAACTACACTTGATAGACGATACAACTGTTTGGAGACAAGCATAAAAGTAAATTAGTTTGGAGTACTTCAGATGTTAGAACAAGGACTAAAGGGAGAGAGCAGGAGGAGACAAATTTCACCTTGATTTAAAGAGCATTTAAACCATGCCTAATGATAGAATATAATAAAATGATCTGGGTGTCATTTGAGCTACAAAGATTAATCAGACACAGTCTTAACTTCAAGGAATTCACAATTTAGCAAGAAAACAAATATGTGAAACAGACAACAGTAGAGTGTTGTAAATACAATCAATCACTAAAGCTTTGTACAAGGTGTAATGGTGTGACCTTCACCTGAGAGAAAAGACGTAGACATAGGGAAAGACTTCATAGTGAAGGCGTAACTTGAGAAAGAATTGGGAAAGGCAGAAAGGAGGGTAGAAAGTTTTATGAGGAGAAATAGCAGAATCACTAACAAATTTCACCAGCTGTCTGATCTCTTATGAGATGTCTCCAACCAACTTCGGGCCTAGATGGAGGCGTAGGTAGACACACTGTGTCTCCTCGCATAACCAAAAGCAGGACAACAAATTTAAAAACAAAAAACTACCAGAACTGCCAGAAAATTGAACGGTACAGGAGTCTGACAACCAAGGAGTTAAAGAAAAAACATTCATACAGACCAGTAAGAGGGGCGGAGATGGGCAGCCAGGTGGAAAGGACTAGCAGCGGCTGGTGGAAAGGGCAGTCCGACATTTGTGTGCAGAAAAACTGGGAGGAACAACTAGGAAGTAAGAAAGACTGTGCAACCTAGGCTTCCAGTGAAGGGAAATAAAGCCTCAAAACCTCTGACTGAAAATTCCTGCGGGGGTTGCGGACACAGGAGAAACTCCCACACTCAGAGGAGAGTTTGTTGGAGAGCCCCACAGAGAACTAAAACATACACAAAACCACCCACCTGGGAACCAGCACCAGAAGGGCCAAATTTGCTTGTGGGTAGCAGGGGAAGTAACTGAAAGCCAGTTGAGAGCTAAATAAGCAGCACTGATCCCTCTAGGATCCCTCCCCAACATACAGCACAACAACACAGTGAGGTGAGTTGCCCCATCCTGTTAAATATATCTAAGGCTCCTCTGCTTATTATGAAACAGGTGTGCAGAAACAAACAAAAAAAAGCCCAAATGAAAAAAAAGATCAAAGCTCCAGAAAAAATACAACTAAGCAAAAAAGAGACAGCCAACCTATCAGATGCACAATTCAAAACATTGGTAATCACGATGCTCACAAAATTGGTTGACTATGGTCGCAAAATAAAGGAAAAAGTGAAGGTTATGCAAAGCAAAATAAAGGAAAATGTAGAGGGAACCAACAGTGACAGAAAGGAAACCAGGACTCAAATCAACGGTGTGGACCAGAAGGAAGAAATAAACATTAACCAGAACAGAATGAAGAAACAAGAACATTAACCAGAACAGAATGAATTCAAAAAAATGAAGAGAGGCTGAAGAACCTCCGGGACAATTTTAAAAGTTCCAACATCCAAATCATAGGGGTGTCAGAAGGATAAAAGTAAGAACAAGAAATTGAAAACTTATTTGAAAAAATAATGAAGGAAACTTCCCCAATCTGGCAAAGGAAACAGACTTCCAGGAAGTCCAGGAAGCCCAGAGAGTCCCAAAGAAGTTGGACCCAAGGAAGCACACACCGAAGCACATCATAATTACTTTACCCAAGATTAAAGATAAGGAGAGAATCTTAAAAGTAGCAAAAGAAAAGGAGACAGTTACCTAAAGGAGTTTGCATAAGACTATCAGCTGATTTCTCAAAAGAGACCTTATAGGCAAGAAGGGGCTGGAAAGAAGTATTCCAAGGCATGAAAGGCAAAGACCTCCATCCAAGATTACTCTATCCAACAAAGCTATCATTTATGAACAGCAAATCAAGTGCTTCCCAGATAAGGTCAAGAAGTTCATCATCACCAAGCCCTTAGTATATGAAATGTTAAAGGGAGTTATCTAAGAAAAAGAGTAATATAAAAACTTTGAACAGTAAAATGACAACAAACTCACAACTATCAACAACTGAACCTAAAAACAAAAACAAAAATCAACTAAGCAAACAAATAGAACAGGTACAGAATCACAGAAATGTAGATCACATGGAGGGTTATCAGCAGAGAAGGGCAGGGGGAATGGAGGAAAAGCTACGGGGAAATAAGTAGCATAAATGATAGGTACAAAATAGACAGGGGGAGGTTAAGAATAGTATAGAAAATGCAGAAGCCAATGAACTTATATGTATGACCCACAGACATGAACTAAGGTGGGGTAATGTGGGTGGGGAGGGGTGCAGTGTGGAGCCAAGTAAATGGGGGAAAATGGGACAACTGTAATAGCATAATTGATAAAATATCTTTTTTAAAAAAGAAGTCTTGAACCATATGACCCCTGACCACTTGTATTTTTACTTGTCCTCATTACTGTGCCAAATCACATACAGGACCTTAAATCCAGCAATTAATCTGGCACCTGAACTTAGTTCTCTAAAAACAGCTCCCAAAACACACAGACAAAAAAAATCACAGTATACAATGTCCTTTTTCAGAATACCTGTGTCTTAATAGTAATTATTAATAAAATCTTACACATGAAGAGCACACTATAATTTACAGAGTACTTTCATATACACAATAAGTTTAGAAACTGGCAGATGTAATGGAACATGAGTTATAGGCATTATCTAAGGAAATCGGTAGGTGACAGTGGACACCTCCAGTCTCAAGGATCTTCATTTGTTTACCTCAGAGAAAATATTGTCATGTTTTGTGTGCACCGCTATGCACAAAAGGTTGGGAAGCACACTAGGATTTGTTAATTATCAACTGTCCAGATTGGGCCTGAAATCCCTTTTTCTGCCATGCCTACAAATGGATAACATAGAAAAAGTAACAGGGGATAAGGGAGGAGGTGCAGAAATGTGAGTCTTCAATGCATTTGACAGTATTTTTGCACTTTTTCACCCCTAAGACAATAGTGGGTCACACTGCAATTGGTAGAGTCATAGAGTGAGGCCTCCACGTTCACACTGGACTCATTCTTAATTTCATTTGCATTCTGAGGCAACAGGATTTTCTTAAGGTAAAAAGAAAACCAAACCTAATCATCTATGACAAGGGTGTCAAATTCATTTTCAGCGGGGGCCACATCAGCCTTGAGGTTGCTTTCAAAGGGTCAAATGTAATTTTAGGACTGTATAAAATGTAACTACTCCTTAACTAGGGGCAAGGAGCTCAGCACTGCCACTGGGTAGAAACAAGGTGCCAGGCCAGATAAAACAAGGTGGAAGGCCAGATTTGGCCTGCGGACCTTGTGTTTGTCACCTGTGAATTATGAGAACAAAGTTGGATATTAAGAGCTTATAACACACATTATGCACTTACAAATATTTTTAATTTAATAAGATAGTGGTGTACTATAGATGTAGTTTTGGTTATAACAAGTATATCTGACTTCACATGAAGGGAATATGGTAATACATTCAAAACATATTCTTATCTCTTCAGGGAAAATTGCATGGAGTATATAATCTGTCTTAGAAGATGGACACAGGGAGGTTTTTAAAATTAAAACATCAAATTCCTGTCTACTCTTTAGTAAGAATCAACATTCAAGAAGACACAGAGAGGTGAAGCTTTACTTAGCAGCCAAATACGGTGTCAAAAGCAAGGACTCTGGAATTGTCTCTTAACATATAATCTTGGGCAAATTATTTAATTTTTCTTATCTATAAAATGTATAAAATATAGACAACAACAGAACCTATATTTAAGGTTGTTGGGGATTAACTAAGCTAAGGTATGCAGTCTGCTTAGTATAAAGCCTGGCATGAAGTAAACATGAAATACATATTAATTACAGA